GTGTTCCTGCCGGCCGCCCCGGAGCGCGGGCAGCGCGCGCGGCACCGCTCCGAGCCCCAGCACGCCAAGGAGAAGCCCTTCGCCTTCGACCTGGACGACGAGAGCATCCGGACGTCCGACGTGTAGCTCCCGGCTCGCTCCCGGCGCGCGTCCTTAGCCGTCCCGGGCGGCCACGCTGCTCCTCTCGGTGCTTGCGCCAGCGCTCGGCGCTTTGGACCAAATCGATCCCGTTACCTTCGCGGGGATGAAACCGGCCGGTTTCCTCCGCCGCCGCTCGCTCTCGTGGTGCAGGATTCAGCCAGACCTCTTGCTCGGTGTCCCCGCTCCTCCGGGAGTGAACGGGATGCTCCAGGTCCCTGGCACCGCCTCCCGTTCAGTAAATGTGGAATTTCCCCCCAAAAGCACACCTGGAGGGAAGGGAGCAGACGGATCTCCCCCTTGGTGCTGCTCCCCAGCAGCCCGGTACGGAGCTGGGGAGGTGCCCGTCGTGCTGCTGCGTTCACCAAAAACGCAGCAGCTTCAATAATGTCTTTTTTTTTGTGTGCAGGAAACCAGCTCTTTACACTGCCCAACTAACGGTATTTTAAGCCATCTGTTTGCTTTTAATTAATTCCTTTTATATCTGCGCCCACTGCATCACGTTAAACTCTGGCAGACTCCGCGTTTGGGAGCCCAGGAAAAGCTTGTCGGTACTTTCTAAATGTGAGTCAAGGTTAGGACCACTAACCTAGTTACCTAACCAGTTAGGACTGCGGGTAACCAGGTTATTCTCAGGTATATTCTCGGTTTTGCACTGCGTGCGTTTGGGCATCGCGTTACTCACAGTAAATGTGGCTTCGTGCGGAGATGCTGGAAAACATTGAAACTATGAAAATGAGAGGGAATCAATGCAAATAGTAAAGGGAGAATGTTAATATTTGTTATTTAATTGTAGAAAACTCGGTTTTGCGGTTTCTCGGCCTCTTTTTGCTTTGTTTGCACTAGTATTTGAAATCTGTTTCTTTTGGCTGACCTGCTACTTGGCTAGTAAAACATGCTGAAAAAGTCTAACAAATTGCTACGACTATGAAGTTCCAGCATTTAGTGATATCAGCCCTGACCTCATTTCTGGAAAACATTAAGCACCCGGAGACTCGGCTTAATCTGTGCCAGGCTTCAAAAACATGAAGTCCCGAGTAGTTTTGCCGCTTTATAATTGCGAAGTTTCCTCGGGCCTGGGATGGTAAAGGTGAAGCCTGTTGCACAACTGCAGATAATTATCCAGGAGAAGCTCCGATGGCTTCGGTGCTGTTGCAATGTTGTTATTTCCCTCCTTTCCACCCTCCTTGCATCTGAGCACTTGAGTGTGAGATGACAACAGGCACCTTCAAGTGAGGGTCTTGCCATGGGGTCTTGCTTTTGCAGGCTGGATTTTAGAGGTAGGGAAGCGTGTTTGGAATGGAGGATGGGAAAGATGAGTTGGTTCTCCTAGACGAAACTCCCAAGCGGTTTCAGGCTCTGTGTTTTAAGTGCTCTTACGGTGCTGGGTACCTCGCAGCTGGTGATGCTCCGCTTGGCTCCCGTCGCGGGGTCCCCTGCATCCATCTCTGCAGCCCGCATTGACCTGCGAGAGGGGAAATTCGTGTTTTTGCACTGTGGTTTTTAAATAAAGAAGGAAATTCTAGTGGCTTTTCCAGACTGGCTGTTGGCATCGTGTGCTTTGGGTTGAGAACCACTCTTTGCTTCTAGAGCGTCTATTTTGTAGAGGGAAACAACACTCCGGAGTGCAAACCTTGTCTCCAGGGGCATCCTCGCAGCCCCAGGCCCAAGTTTAATTGCAGTTGGGGTTGGGAGGAGCTTCATTTTTTCACGATTCCTTGGATAAATTGATGACTAGACAGAGAAAGAAGCCTGGAAGATCACTCTAGATTTGCCTAGGCAGCTCCCACTGAGACCATTTGCAGCTAGGGCATAAGCAGCATCCAAAGTGCCACGAGGAGGAACTTTCCTGCCTTGTTGTGGACCCAAAAACCGTCTCTCCAGAAAGGCTGAGAAAGCTCCGCGCCTGGAATCCGTGGCCCTTGCCAAGAAAGCAAGCGCCGATCGCCAGCACTGATTAGCGGCAGCATTCCTGGGAAATGTGGTGCGAAATTTTTCTTTCATTAAACCATCTTTTGCGGGACTCGGAGCCAGTAGCGTTTCCATGACTTAAAGAAAAAACAAGAGTAGCAAAAAAGAAGTTTCCTGATGTCTTTCCAGGGCGAGTACTGCGGTGATGGTTTCTGAGGACGAGCGAGTAAAATCGGGAGGAAACGGAAAAATAGAAAACGCAGTTGTCAAGTGTTCACAAATCTGGGGCAGCTGAAATGTTCCCAGCTCTTTGGGGTTTGGAAATTACAGCCCTAAAAATACAGGCTTGCAATGTTTTGCAAGGCTGGTTTTGGAGCTGAATTCCCCAATAAATGGAATCAGGATTCTGCTTAAAATGAGTGGGCACCCTCCTCTGAGGAGGGTTACGGCTTCGTTTGGGGCTGCTCAGTTCCATTTGAAATATATTCTAGTGCCTCCTCATCGGGTTTTTTATTGCCCCTGCTGCAGATATTGCTAGAATAAGAGTAAAGAACTGGTGCCACCTACATTCAGTCTTACCATGGCATGGCCAGTTTTATCCCTCTCCCTAATGAGATATTTTCTACAAGCAGCAGCATGAAAATTCCTCCTCCCAAATTATTTTGGATGCTTTTTGCACATCCCAGCTGCTGCTGTGACAGCCAAGGCTCTGTTCCAACCCAAAACTGAAGCCCTCTTAACAGGGGGAGATGTTAATGAAGACGAGCTTATGCATCCAGGATTTTTTTTTCTTTCTTTTGCCTTTTTTCTTGCCTCCATCATGGGTTTCCAGCTCTGCTGTTCCCCTGGTCTAAAGAACATGGTGGTTTTATAAAGCTGACTCCCCACACACTGCCCTGGGAGCAAATGAAAGCTGCCAAATTCAGTTTGCTTATGACCTAAATGGGATATAAATCCCGTTCCCCAGAGAGGAGGAGTTGTTGCAAGAAACCACAAAGCAAAACTGGAACAAGCACGATCTCCTGACAGAAAATCAGTGCCATTGAAGACAGAAGTAGAAGTAATCCGGGCAGAAATTAGCCAAATGCAAACTGGAGGGTCCCGAATTTGCAGAACTCGGCGAGAACGGAAAGTGTGTGTTTGCTTTATTGCACATCAAATGCTACCAGACTTCTACATGTGCAGATCTGATGCCTGCTCCCGGTCTGGGTGACTTGCTGGAGCTTCCCTTTCCCGTTTTTATTCAGCTCGCTGAGTTTCCAAGCTGCAGCTGCTGGGGCTTCCTCTTTTGCCCGCGCGGCTGCTCGAAGCTTCTGCTCGTGTCGGCGCTTCCAAACGCTGCTCCGGGCCCGCACGGGATGTGGGATTCTCTCCTCTCCGACCCCCTTCCGAGCCCTTTGGCTCCCGTCCATTCCCTGCAGCTCCCGGGTGGAACCAAGCCTAATGAGGCAAAGCTTCTGTTTGGCACTTTTGTGCATTTGCCATCAATTAACTGGGGCAGAAACTTGCAAATCAGAACGAATCTTGTGGCTGACATAAATATGTGCAGAATCCCTAACTCTTTGGGTGCCAGGTCGACCTGTTTCACCTAAGAGCACTACCAGCATCTGCAGCCGGTCTGATAGAGTAAAACACACAGGGTTGTCACTGGATGCTCCTCTGTTTTAAAGGACGTGAATATTTAACAGCAGTGAACAGCTCTACGGCCCACTGCTGCGGGCGTTATGGTGAAATACCTTTTGAAAAGCAAATGTTATCAAAGCAAAGATCATCAAAATAGATTTTAAGCGTAACTGTGGCTTGCATGATCAGGAATCTTGCAATTCCTGAGGATCAACTCACTACCAGCTTGAGCGTGGATGGTTCAATCACAGTCATAGGGAGCAGGTCACTGAAACTGCCACACTGTGGCCACAGAGAGTACTGGCTTTAGCTGTGCAGAAGTGAAAGATTTTCCCCCATCTGTTACAAAGTGTCTGGTTTCATTGCAGTTGTGGTATGAGAAGGCGATGTAATTATTGCCATTAATGGGAAAGCAGCTGCTTGTAGTGAGGATGCAAGTGAGGCCATTAAGAAACAAATACACAAACAAAAAAGAGCATCTTTTCAGTTGTGGTTTGCCAAAGAAATGAAGATGCCCTCGTAATGCCAGAGGAAACAGATGAAGAGTCTCCTTTTACTAGAACTACTCGCTCAGCTAAATTGGGCTGAAGTTTAGGATTGATTTTTAACATACCCCACGTACAACTTGGGAACGGCTGCAGCATCCGCAGGTAATGCTTGAAAATCCCAGAAATCAGAGCTTCTTTCACGAAGCCTGAGCTGCAGCTTTACTCACTGCACCGAGCCAGCCCCGCGAGGGTCCAAATTTATGTTCCCCTAAAGGAAGCTGCCTCTACTAAACTGTCTAGCCCAGCTGTCCTGCTTCCAAAGAACAGTGAATATTGTCGTAAGCCACTTGCAATTAGAGCTTATCATTTTGCCCCAGGGGCTCGGTGACAGAACTGCAAGGGCTTGTTTAGTCTAGCAGCACAAAACCACAAGCTAGTGGCCTTCCTTCCACCTCTGACTGCATCTCGTATTTGGCTGCATGTGCTCTAATACTGAGAGTAAGGGGAGGCACGTGCTTAAACCATTACAGAAGCTACATTCAGGAGGAGTTCTCTTTCCACACTTTATTTTAAGATTTGCGTTCGTAAGGCCTGATTTTTACAGTGTTACCTGCTGAAGGGGAAAAAATCCCGATGGTTTTAAACAAGATATACAGATATGTTCAATGTGGAAATTAAACCCAAGGTACGCACAGAAGTGTTTGCAAGAAATTTGCTCTGCAAATTCACGCACGCCTCTGTAAACCTGTGTCTGTACCTGGGTAGAAGAGAAGCCTGTTCCAAAGCAGATGCCAAAGTCTGTCTCCAGCCCCGCAGAGACGCTCCGGGCTTCCTTGGGGACCATCCTGTCACCGCGGGCCGAGCCTCGTGCCCTCTCAATACACCGTGCACCAGTTGCTGCCGTCGCTGGGCATGAGGCCGCCGGTGATGAGCAGGATGAGGTCGACGAACCACCAGATGCCGAGGCCGCCCAGCGTCAGCAGCTTCCCCACGGCCGTGCCCGTGTGGCCCAGGCAGAACCGGTCCACGCCGAAGCAGCCCAGGAAAAACGAGTAGAGCAAAGTGGTGATGAAGTAGTGCCCCGTGTACCTGCAAGCGGGCGACGCTCAGCCCCTGCCCCACGTAAAGGCCCCACTGCATTAATGGGGTGAAAACGTGGGGAAACGGCTCCTACTTGACGCAGGGCCGGCTGCCGCGCAGGAAGCTCCGCGGCTCGGCGCACTCGATGCCGTCCAGCGCCCGGCACTGCACCCGCGTGTGCTCCACGTCGCCGTAGGCCTGGCCGCCGAGCTGGGGGGACGCGGGGGGCGCGCA